CTAGAGCGGCTTCCAATAAAGCAGGTTGCCGGCCACTGGTGTTAATCAAGAAGAGGCAGGACACCCATCTGCCTGTGATGCCAGCCAAAATAATCCCATATAATGATTACAGTCTGTTTTCAATCATTTGCACTAATACAAATTTGAATTCTCACCACTTCAGATGGGAAGTGTTGCTGTAACAGACTCTTAAATCCTTCCAGCTCTGAGTCCAAACAGCCCAGCACATCTGCTCTTACTCCCCAATTTAATCTCAGCCTAAGATGAACTTTACATGTCAACTTTGATTAAAAATACCACCTTTGGGGGGCGCCTGGGTGGCTCAGTCGCTTAAGCATCAGACTTCGGCTCAGGTCGTGATCTCACGGTTCATGGGTTGGAGCCCCACGACGGGCTCTGTGCTGACAGCTCAGGGCCTGGAGCCTGCTTCGGGGTTCTACGGCCCCCACCTCTCTCTGCGCCTTCCCTGCTTATGCGGTCTCTCTCTCTCTCAAAAACAAATAAACATTAAAAGAATTTTTAAATAAAACATTGAAAACAAATGCCACCTTTGGGACTTTAGGTTGAATATAGTGAAGATCTTAAACACACACATTTAGCTCTGCTTCCGTCCCAAGCTTACACTCGAAAGGCTACAAAGAATTTAAAAAGGAATAAACAAACAAAAAAACAACTCAAAAGGAATAAACCCACAAAGAGAACAAAAGAGATCATAGCCAACACTTTCAAGAAGATCTCGGAAGCTGGACAAATGGTAACTGACTTCCAATTTCTGCTTTCCTACTCCAGTAACAGCCTGCAAAGGGGTAGATGAGGGGATAGAATTCAACCCCTGGCAAGAACGCTCCTTCTTCCCAAATCTTGGCAACTGGAAGCAACTGGCAATTTTAACTGAACAGTTAAAATTCTAGATGTATATGGGGGGGGGGGAGGTGGTGGCCCAGAGAGGGAGAACAGTCCAGACCCCTTGTGTGAATGTAGCTATTGTTACTGTTAAGACTATTTTCTTGCTATTTACTTTCTGTGCCCCCTTGTTGTTCCTCTTCTCCCGCTCTCTTTTGAGTTAATCAAGTATTTTGAGTATTCTATTTTATCTTCACTAATGGCTCTCCAGTTGTACCTCTTAGCTTATGGTTTTTGTGGCTGCTCTAGAGAATTATATATGCATCCTTAATTCATCAGAGCCTGTGTTAATGTTACACCACCTCACTTGTAAGAACCTTCCAAGAGTATAATTCCATGTCCACCCCCTTAGACCTCTGCGCTGTTCTTGAAAATATTTTTCTACCTGCTACACTGTTATTCCTTAATCTTTGTACATTGTTCCTTTCAACCAAGTTCCCCGATACTTTCTTCCTTTGGGAGGGGTTAAAGACAACAGCCTAGACCATGACTGGAAGGTAACTTTTATTCTATTTTTGGAAGAGTAGTCAACACCCTCTTTTAAAAACAGAAAGAGAATGTGCACTAGGCCTCAGGTTTGCATAAATGAGGTAACATATCACTAGTTCATTCCTCTTTCATTAGAACCTTGTTCAGAAAGTTGCAATGACTTTTCCATTGGAACCTTGTTCAGAAAGTTGAAGGAGCCACATCTGTGAATCAGAACAGAACATTTTGTACAGCAAAATACGAGAGCAATGTCAAACTAAAAAGTGATTTCATCATAAGGTTCAGATTTGAAAAATAACTTTGACACCTACTTACTATCTTTGAGTAGTTTCAAAATTTAGTCTCAAAAATTCTCTATTTTCAAAGACAAAGAATGAGAACAGAGAACCTTTTAAGTAACCATCAAATAAATCAAAAACATCAAAACTGGGCTCTGAGCTTTCCAAGATCTGAGAGGTTACAGAATTATTTAAATTTTAATAATATGAAAATTAACCTCAATTACTCTGATGTCCCTTAATAGGAAGGGAAGGAGATTTTTTTTTAATTGGATATATTCTATTAAATCTGATATTTGTGACCGGCCTGGTGTAATGTGTGGGAACAAGCTTCACCTGCCAACGTATTTCCCACACATCTTTTAAAATATGAGGGTCAACGAGATCCCCAAAGGGAGTTTTCCAAACAAGCACTCCCCCCCCCCCCCTTTTTTTTTTTTTTTTTTTTAAACATTTTTTTATTTTTGAGAGACAGAGAGAGACAGAGACAAGCAGGGGAGGGGCAGAGAGAGAGAGAGGGAGACACAGAATTTGAGGCAGGCTCCAGGCCCTGAGTTGTCAGCACAGAGCCCGACATGGGGCTTGAACCCATGAACTGGGAGATCATGACCTGAGCCAAAGTCAGACGCTCAACCGATGCAGCCACCCAGGTACCCCAATTTCATTCTCCCTTTAATGTGAATATCTGTGTGCCTCTCAAGATCTGAAAATCAGAAGGTTTTTCTGGTTGTTGTTTTTTGGTTTGTTTTTGATAAAATACTGTGCATTATCTACTCAGGTTAATTTTATTACAAATGATTAATGGATGATATTTTAGAAACTGGTTTATTTAGTTGAGTTTCCCATCAAATATCGTAGAACCTATTGTGCCCTCAACATGAAATGCAGTAATAGCTGGGGGCGCCTGGGTGACTCAGTCGGTTAAGTGTCCGACTTCAGCTCAGGTCATGATCTCACAGTTCGTGAGTTCAAGCCCCGCGTCAGGCTCTGTGCGGACAGCTGGGAGCCTGGAGCCAGCTTTAGATTCTGTGTCTCCTCTGCCCCTCCCCCACTCACACTCTGTCTCTCTCTCTCTCTCAAAAATAAACATTAAAAAAAGTTTTTAAAAAATCCAATACCTGAATTCTACACCAATTTTTTTCTAAAATATTCAACTTTTAGTGAAATTATTTCTCACAAATTGAGAACAGACTAACAGTCAATGAGACACGAAAGTATTTTAAAAGATTAATACGTAAAAATAAGTACAAAGAAAATGATGAAATGATTCAATCCTGTAACTGACATTGTGTAAATAGTGTTTATTTAGATGCAGTAACAAATTTTGTAGTCACTGTGCTCTTTGTTTAGGCTATTTTTAAAGATGTTTAAAAATTCTTAACAAAACTTGCTCCACTAAATGTATGCCTGATTAGACTTATAAGCATTAACTACTAAGATTTATTTGTCAGATATATAAGTCTACTCTGTCAGGTGCTGCCAGTGTAGTTGAACAGACAAGTGGTATTAAATTTTTAGGCAGATTTAATCATCGGATATTAATCAAAATCATTAAGCAAAAAGAAAGTGATTGTTTTTACAACTCTTAGAAATAACTTCTATGAGCTGGATGTAAAAATTTGAAGGAGAAAAAGATACTTAGAGATCATCTTAACATATGGGATAATAATTCAAACACAAGGACATGTGAGTAATGCCTCCCATGTCCAAAAGCATTTCTTGGGAATTAAAGCACTAACAACTTCCATCTGAACGACTGTCACTGAATCTACTTTAGAACCACAGACCTATGCAAAATGAAGCTAAAATCCGAATGTATGACATCAATCAATGTATTCTTAAAAAATTTTTTTTTTACATTTATTCATTTTTAAGAGACAGAGAAAGAGCACAAGCAGGGATGGGACAGAGAGAGAGAGAGAGGGAGACTCAGAATCCGACGCAGGCTCCAGGCTCTGAGCCGTCAGCACAGAGCCTGACGTGGGGCTTGAACCCACAAACCATGAGATCACGACCTGAGCCGAACTCAGACGCTTAACCGACTGAGCCACCCAGGCGGCCCACAATCAATGTATTCTTAAGAAATTAAGAAAACTGCAACGTCTCATTACCAGAATTTCAGGAAACTGAATGTCTTAAAAACCCTAACAGCTTTATAGACCACTGGTACATTAACACAAAAACTGATCCTTTGCTAATGCAGAATCTGTGATTACCACCAGAGAGAAGTTCTGTCTCTGGTTTTTCCATACTTGGGGAAGTAAAAATATCTAGGTCTAAGCAATTTACAAAACTTTCAGTCAAGGGGTGCCTGGGTGGCTCATTTGGTTAAGCATCTGACTCTTGATTTTGGCTCAGGTCATGATCTCGAGGCTCGTAGGATCAAGCCCTGCATTGGGCTCCACTGGGCTCCGGGCTGACAGCCTCTCTCTCCTCCTCTCTCTGCCCCTCCCCCACATGCATTCATTCTCTCTCTCTCTCTCTCTGTCTCTCTCTCAAGAGAGATGAATACACTTTTTTAAAAAACTTACAAAAAAAACTTTCAGTCAAGAAAAAATTGGTTGGATTCAGATTACCTATTTTCTTGGAAATATGAGGTCACGAACCAGGAAAGACATCCATCATCTTAACTAACTTTTTCGATAGGACCTCTATGCTGAAAATAAAATAATATTCAATCTTCACACAGGACATGGGTCCTATGAGTATCTTTCCTCAAGAGGAAAAAGCTATCAAAATAGTTTGTTAGCCTTCCCACATTTACCAAACACCTTGGCATTCAGAGAACTGCTGCGAATACACAATTGAAATGCATGAAAAATGAGACGCAGAGAGAGATTGAAAGGCAAAAGTCTCAGGTTTAGAGGAGGGAGGGCTGCTGAAGGTCTGCAGTTCCAGGGTAAAGAGAGAGGGGAACAGGAATAAATTTCTACTGGCCACATTTAAGCCAAAAAGTATGAAAACAAAACAGACGTGTGGTACTAGAACCCAAGAATGAAGGTACAGGAAATCAATGAAATATTCTAAAACTAAAAGCTAAAATTCTTCCCTGAGCTCCACAGGCAAATCTTTTGGAGCACAGCATTATGTTAAACAATGTGTTTAAAATTGTAAAGCTCTTCAAATATTAGCAGAGGACTGCTACAATGTGTATGTGTGCACGGATGGACGGAGAGAGGTATGGATGGGTGGGTGGGTGGACAGACAGAAATACACAGAAGTTCAAAACATTTACTTACCACTCACTACTCTGCAACAACAATTCTCTCAATTTGGCTGGGACAACAGGTGATTTTTGTTAAAAGTAAGGAACAAGAGGAAAACATTTTCGAAGCGAGAGTCCTTTAATAACTATACTCATTTCCAGAGAACAATAAATACAGAAATTACAAGCAGTACGGGTAACGGTAATCTTTCCCTTAGCTACAGAAAACACCTACTTTTATACAACTTCATGGGCAAACATGTCTAACGAAAATCAGCATTGGGAAAAGCTACACAACAGAAGAAAATCGCAAGTAAAACGAAAAAGTATTTGTTCCTGCCCCTAACTACTGAGATTCATACCCCAGGTAGAACGGGAAGGCAGGAGATTCTGAGGCAGGAGGGCATGCTCAGCTCCGGGCAGCAGCGGTCTGAGGTTGCTCGGATTGGAGCTGTTTACCAAGATATTCCCTAAAACAGCAGGAATAAAAGGACAAGGTCAATTAGAATTTAAATGACAGAGAATCTCTTTCAAAATCGAAGCATAATATACAATGTCATCTATACTCCCTTTAATAACTACAAATTAGTAAAAGAGCTCCCGAAAACTAATCCTTTCCAGATTTGAAAGGTGCCCGTACTGTATGAATTTTAAGCGCCCTGTTTACCATGCACAAGTCGTCACGCACGCCCGGTGGCTGTGCACACACTTTCAAGGCGGTGCCTCCTTCCCCGTCTGGGTACGAGGCCTGTTTCCGAGCTCGGCCACATTCGCAATCTGCAAAGCTCAAAACCCACTCAAGTATGACTCCATGTAAGTGTACCGATAACACGAACAACAGATGTCCTCGTATTACTGAATACAAGTATCGACACCCAGGGGTGAAAATAACGTCAAGATTCACAACTTGTAGCACAGCTACTGTCTCTGCACCAACATAGTCTAGAACCTTCACAGCGATGGTCACGCTGGGTCCTCAGAGTCGCCACGGGAACAGAGAAGGAGTATCTCATTTTACAGGGGGCACTGCGGCTTAGAGCAGTGGTTGCTGAACTATTTAGATCACATTCGCCTTCAGGAAATGAGCTGAATCCACACCCGCAGCAGGTGTATATTTAGCTCTTCGTTACATACAGGCATCACTGTTAATTCCAGGACAGAAACAATTTCTTTCCCACTTTCCTGTGAACGACGTGCCCAAACTGTTGTTTTTGAACAGAAGACATTTTGTAAAGAACATTTAAGAGAGTCCCTCTGCCATGAAAAGGAAACAGCATGAGTTTTGGATAGAGGCCTGGGCCTATGTCCCGGCTGCACCCCCTCAGGGACGTGCTGGTTCCAGAGGCTGTGGGATGAGGGCACCTGCTGGGGACGAGCCGCGGGCACACAGAGGCCTAGTGTCATCTCCTCAACCCATCGGCTGGCACCCAACGTCTCCCCGTCCAAGCACCTCCGGGAAACGACCTACGGGGGCCACCAGCGTCTCCCAGCAAATGTGAGCCTGCCTTTCTCCACAGAGCTAGAGAGAGGGGAGAGAGGCGGGGTTTGCACAGTCACGGCCGCAGGCCACAGGCCGCTGTCACGGCCCTAGCCCAAAGCTAGCGGAGCTGTGAAGCAGGACTGAGAACAAGCAGCAGCATTCAGGGCATGGTCCAGAGCGAGTTCTGCGGACCGGTGCAGGTGAGGTGTCAGGGACCCCCAGAAGTCTCACCGAGGTGAAGGAGGATTGAAAATACTACGGGGCAGACTGAAACTTCCTACAGTGTCAAGACGGTTTATGTGCTTTTCTTATCCTTCCGTGAAAGTTCTCGTCACTGACTTATCAATTCTGCGTGTCATATTAAGGCACATAACATGTTCCTGTGTCCACCAGGAGCTACCCTGACATAACGTGGACAATGGGGATCTTATGCTCAACCAACCACCAAGTCGGTAGTTCTAAGTCGTGCAAGGGAAAAAAGGGAAACCACCTGTACATTTCACTAGACAGGAAAAAAAGCAGGAGTTTATGGTCACTATCAATGGTGCCATTCTGGGGAGGCCTGTAACTAGGAACCACGTATGACTGCATAAGTGGGCTGGGTTGTGTTGTGTGGTGGGGGCAGGGAGAGATGAGGGGTACAATATAATATTTATTACAAGATGTCCAGATCTTAAGTATTTTCCTGCATGTACCTAAGGAATGAAGCTTAAAATGAGGCATGCTTCATTGGGCCTTCAAATATTCCAATTCTAAAAGTCAGACTGTTTAGCGCAAAGGGTCAGCAGACTATGCCACCCCCAAATACGCCCCTTTGGGGGACTGATGATTTTGAGCTGTAGACACTTGAAAACAGCAAGTGCAGGGAGAGGCTTTCTCCGGCCTCCCTTTATCTCCTTAAACACAGGTCCTCCAGAAGGAACTCAATTCTTCAGTCCCCTCCCCTGGAGTTTCAGCAACCAGGGAGGATGGACTCTTATCACAAGAGAACAGAAGTCCGTATCACACCCAGACAGACCCTGTCACAATCTATGATACTTCGCACTAATTCTTCCAACGGTCCATCCCTCAATCACTTACTCTCCCTAAGAGGCCTAACTGCCCCCCCACACACTCCTTTTTCCCTATTAAGATGGAATTTAATCCTAAATTTTAAAGCTACATCTTTAAGTTGCCCATTTTTCCTGGGTGTCCCCCATGTGTACATGAGATATATATGTTAATCGACTGTTTTTCTCGTGTTAATCTGTTATTAATTACAGGGTCTCAGCTAAGAACTCAGAAAGGTAGAAGGGAAATTATGTTTCCTCCCCTCTGAGAGTGATTTCTCAGAAAACATTTTAAAAGTACACCTAAAGACACCATGCCAATTATAGTAAGCCGTGGTTCTTTCAGTAAAGGACCAATGTGAAGGACCACGTTCTAAATGTAAGTTTCCAAGAGAAATGACACGAGGTCACATAGCAAAGCCTTCCAGAGTTTAGTGCTCTGAACTGCCAAGTGGCAGAAAGGGTCTGGCTGGATCTGGTCACACACGGAGGCTCCCGTCCGCTCCACCCCTTTCAGAGACATGAAGGGTGCTCCATTCCCATATCAGATTTAAATGATATTCAGGGGACAAGAGTGAACACTTGGAGGTGAAAAAGATAACTGATTTCTTCATAAAAAAGACATCACTGCATTAAGGGTCAGAGTCAGATAGTAAACCGGCAAAGATGCATTTTTTTCTGGCAGAGAATTTAGAATCACGTCTGGGGCGCCTGGGCGACCCTGTAAGTCGAGCGTCGGAGGCTTGACTCCCGGTTCGTGGGACGGAGCCCCGTGCGGAGCCTGCTCATCCTCTCTCTCTCTACCCCTCCCCTGCTCGCAGCCTTGTGCTCTCTGGCTTTCTCCCAAACTAAATAAACTTAAAAACCACATACAAATAAATAAAAGCATGTCCGACCATGGCTCCACCCCAACGGTCTTCTGCTGCCTGGTTTCTCCTGGTCGAAGGCCTCTATTATGGATGGTATGCTCCACAGTACTCTCATTTTTGTCACATCCAAAGTGGCTCCGAGGCCATCCACCTCAGTGCCTGGACTGCAGAGGACTCAGGGCCTCCTTTGTGTCTGCTCACTAGGATTTATGCAATTTAAGACTTAGATGCAGGACAAGAACACATAAAGGGTTCAACTGAGAGCGTGCACATCAAAAACCCGGACGGAACTCTGAAAGCCTGAATTATAGGTCACAAAATGCCAAAAGTCTAGCCGGAGAAGAGCCCAGATGGGACCCATGGAAAGAAGAATTAAATCTCCCCCTCGGGCTTTCTTGAAATTGCGATGTTTGCAGCGTGGCACGTGAGTTGTGAAAATACCAGAGAGAGCCGAACTGAGGCTCAACTGAAAAAAGATACTAACTGCAGAAAAAGGACCTAACGTGCACAAAGCTTTGGAGAACGTCTGTGGCTTGTAAAAGGATACAGTCTATTTCCCTATGGCTAATGGTAACACGTAGCCAATTGAAATCTTCCCTAGGTTCACCCAAGCCTGCCTCTGAACTCCGTGTGGCCCCAGCCACAGCCCAGTCCAGGCACCAAGCGCCCGGGGCTGGAAACACAGAGCAGGTGGCTACACTCCACTCGTTGTTACCAGCCAACAGGGAAACCTGCTTGCCCGTGTGCCCACGCTATTCTCCTAGTTCACTGCACCCTGCGAGGTGAGTTACCTCCATTGACGGGGGAGGGAAAGGAGCCTCAGAAAACTTCCAATAACGTGCCTAGGGACAAAGTGCGCAAACGGCCAGGGCTCAGAGCCCTTTCTCTTCATGCTGTCAAGCGGACTGACGCCCAACCCAGTAAGAGCCCTAAAAAGTACAAAAAGCAGCCACTGTTCCTAATTTTACAGATTAGAAAGTACTAAGAGGATGTACATAATTTCTTCAGATTAAGGTGCCATTACCATCAGGCAAAAGGAAAAACAATTACAGATTTTACTTCAAGGGCTTGCAGTGTATCTATAACAAAAGATTCAAGAAGAATTATTGTAAATGAATTAATCTAAGTATTGAGTCATTCTGTACATGAAGATCGATACAAGAATAAAAATTCCACTTATAATTCACTCAGAAAGTGCCCAGTATGTACCAGAAGTCCACAGGAGTTTGACGTTAAATCTTTGCTTTTACTACCTAGGAAGCAAAATCTGAGAAGTGTGATATTTTCTCCTCTTTAACTTCATCCACAACTTAAACCATTTGGGAGTCCAAATCTCTGAAACGGACAAAAGAAATGGTCTCAAGACCCACTCCCCTTTTTAAAAATCCAAGTACAAAACAGCTCACAAAAGAGATCATGTTGCATGCTGACACTTGCTTCAGAAGGACCTGTTTCATTCTCTTGTCAATGACCATAAAAGGTCTGCACTTCGGCATCCGTCGTAACACTGAAAAACTGTTTTCCGGTTCCTGAGAAGGAACCTGCCTGAAAGAGGCAGTCTGGAGAGGGCGTTCGTGTCTGGGCTCCCAGCTATGGGCAGCCGGGCACCGGGGGGCATCCCCTGGCATACGTGAACCCTTAGAAGAGAACGGCCTTCACCGTATTACAATGGAGTGTCAGACCTTCACTTATATTTAGGGCTGTTTAAGCAAACATTTTTATTCTTTCTCTAAAACTGCAGTTACAAAGAAGAAAAAAAAAACATAGTTGAAGACACTGTGATATTCAACATGCTTTGCCTATATAATTTAAACACATGGAAGGGGCGCCTGGGTGGCTCAGTCGGTTGAGCGGCCGACTTTGGCTCAGGTCATGAGCTCACAGTCCGTGAGTTCGAGCCCCGCGTCGGGCTCTGGGCTGACGGCTCAAGGCCTGGAGCCTGCTTCGGATTCTGTGTCTCCCTCTCTCTCTGACCCTCCCCCATTCATGCTCTGTCTCTCTCTGTCTCAAAAATAAATAAACGTTAAAAAAAATTAAAAAAAAATAAACACATGGCAACTTCATCTATATAA